CTCTCAGGCCTTTACTCTCTCTCATTGTCCTTGTCTCTCTCTACTGTCACTGTCCCTCTCAGTGTCTTACTCTCTGCCTTTGAGAGGAGACCACGTTCTGTCAGTGGAGTGTTACCTCTTTTCTACTAAACTTTCCTTTTGATTCTAACTTTGGAGTATGTGTTGAATTCTTTCTACACTCTCTGCCAAAGGACCCTCTTCTTCTCTCAGTGCAGGCTTGGTCTCCTCCTACCAAATCGGAGAAATTTGTCCTGTCCTGTATCAGCCTTACCCACTAAGGTATTTCTTTATTAGAGAATTTATGCACCCTAAGAAGGAAATCCTCAGTCACACTGATGGGTGGCACTGGCTTCGTTTGTACAGTATTATTTGAGTAAGCCCAACACAGAATTACAACTTTCCCAATTAATACCATTTTGAAAAAGTTAAAATATCTGTAGAGATAAAATATCTATCTCTAGAACCTCCAGAGAGTCTGATTTAACTAATCTGGGGTGGGGCCTGGGTAAAAAGAGGAAAACAGGAAAGAAAAGGCTAGTACAATTATAAAGTTTCTGGTTTGAATAAACTAAACTTTGGTATATTACATATTTAAGTGTGTTCTTAATGACAACTTTGAAAGTTGCAAGTCCCTTAAGGATCTATTACAGCTAATGTGAGGGCGTGGCAAAGTAAGCCATCTATAAGTATAATGCTAGTTTATCATTTCTCAAGGGGCAAGGTCAAAATCCAGGCACCAAGAGGAATTGTTTTCAGGTGATTAGATCAGTGGTTCTCAAATAGGGGTGTGCATCAGAATCCCCTGGGGGCTTGTTAAAATCCACTGTTGAACCCTCCTCCCTGGTCACCCTCCCCAGTTTAGGATTCAGTACGTCTGGGGTGGGACCCAAGAATTTGCATTTCTAACAAATTTCCAGGTGATGCCAATACTGCTAGTTGGAGGACCACCCTTTGGGGGACACTTACAGCCAACTGGAGCTATCCTCCTTGACCAGATGTGCTTGCGAAAAGGAAGATCCCCAGATGCCCCATCAAAGATCTTCTAGGCTCAGACCAGGATTGAAACACTACCTAATTGCTTCACACTAGGACTGACTGCACATCACAATGATCTGGGGAACTTTTTGTGACCTCGAGATGCCTGGGTTGCATCTGCAGAGAGTCTAATTTAACCTGTCTGGGGTGGGACCTGGGTGAAAGGCTGTTAGGTCTTCCATGATCACAGCAACACCTAAGATCCTTTTAAATAACATCTAGGCCTGGCTCCACTCCAGTCCACTTATCAGAATCTCTAAGGGAAGTGGGCCTTGGGGTGTATGTGTGTGTGTGTGTTTGTCTTTTGTTTTTAATAGACTATTTCTTAGAGCAGTTTTATGTTTACAGAAAAATTGAACAGGAAGTACAAAGAGTTCCCATATGTCCCCCTACCCCCACCCTCCACCCCCTCACAGGCTCCCCTGCTATTAATATCTTGCATTGGTATGGTATATTTATTACAACTGCTGAACACTGATGAATTGATGAATATTGGTACAATATTACTAACTAAAGTCCAGAGTTTACATTAGGGTTCACCCTTTGAATTACACAGTTCTGTGGTTTTGCCAAATGCATAATGTCACGTATTCACCATTGTAAATGTACAATGGTTTCGGCCTTGCTATTTTTAAAAAGCAGCCCAGGAGATTTGTAGGTACAACCAAGGTAAGAACCACTGACTTAACAATTATCAAGGAGCGGGAACAAAATAACTGAGAACTTTCCCATATTTGCTATTTTTAAAAGTTCCTCATCTCTTTCTCAGTAATGATCAATAGCAAAATAAAAAGGGAACAGGGAGTCAATTTGAATAAAAACCAATAAAATGATGCATACCCAAATAAAACCATTATATTATTTGCCCGTCACATTGGGAAAGTTGAAAATTTTGCTAACACACTACATTGGAAAGTACTCTCTGATGTCACTGATGGAACGGAATTTGGTAAAACCTCTGTGGGAGAGCCTTTTGGCAATATCTACCCAAATTACAAATGCACTAACCTCTGCACCCACCAATTCCACTTCTAGAAAACTATCCTTTAGACAAATGTGTAAATGGGCATATGTGTAAGGTTATTTATTGAAAAATTGTCTGTAATGGCAAAAGGTTGATAACCTAAATATCCATGAGTTGGAGACTGGTTAAATAGATGGAACATTCATAAGAGACACTATATAGCCTAAGGAAGTTCGCTCTTTATGAATCATTATGCAAAGATCTTCAACAAATAAATAGGTGAAAAATGCAAGGTGTGAAGTAGGTTACAATATTTGACCACTTGTGGAAAAAAGGAATGAAAAGTAAATATATAAATTAATTTGTATAATTATAAAATTGGTCATATTGAAACGATCAGCAAGAAACTAGTAACACTGGTTTCTCGGTGTGGGGTAGCTGGGACAAGGATTGCAAAGACTATACTGTATTTGTAACCTCTGAATTTTGAATCATGAGACTATTACATTAAAAAGAATTTTTTTATTGTGCTTATCCTTAGGTCTAGCAATTTCACTATTAGGAAGTGATCCTATGGGGTAAGAATTAAATAAATGCAAATTTTCATTGATAAATATTGATCAATTTTAAATATTATAATATGGTATTATAAATATGAAAAATTTTGTAAAAATTTCCATATAATAAGTTTTTATTTATAATATGAAAAAATAAAAAACAACTCGTATGTCCAAAAACAGGAACTGATTATAAAAACTGCTGCTTTCAAATGATGAAATACCATGTACTCATTTAAATGATCATGGAGAAGTGCATTCATGGGATAGAAAAAAGTTCATGAGACTTTGCTGAGTTTTTAAAAGGCAAATAAACAATATGCCTTGTATTTTGTCATTAAAAAAATATTTATAAGGATGTAGAAAAAAGACTGGAATGTGCTTTACCAAAATTTGACATTATTTCTCTGGTATAAATATGATATAATTATAATTATGATCTTTCTTTCTTTTACAACAAACATGTATTATTTATATAATTATTTTTTTAAAGCCAGGGAATGGATTATAGTCTCTAAAAAAAACATTTCCTACTGTTGTAGCCGCCAGCCCCCAAAAGACACACGGACCACCAGAAATCAGTGAGTTATAGGAAACACACTCTTTATTCAGCTAGCTAGGTGTGCCAGGGGTACACAGACCCCAAATTAAGCAGCCCCGAAATGTAGAGGTACAGGGTTTTTAAGCCCTAAATCCCATTACTCATTCTGTCTTAAACACAAAGGTCTATTTTTCTCCTATTCACTACCTGTCAACCCACAGGTCGGTTGTGCAAGCGGGGGTACAGAAGCAGAAAACTTATTGTTAGAATGTTATGTTCCCATGGGTGATAGCCTATGTTCCCATGGGCGATAGCCAAGCAGTAATTTTCCAGCCAGCACACTACCCCCAAAAAAGTTCCCTAGAGAAATGGCTGACTTCAGAATGCAAAGAAGGTATCTTAAAAGTCCATCGATGGGAGAATTTGGGCTTCAAAAAGAATAACAGCGAAGGACTGAATCTTTGTAGGGAGTTAAGGATTCATTATTTTGAAAATTGATAAAAAAAGAAACATTTAATTTGGCTCTACTATACAAATTGGACCTCAAGGTAACCCATTTTTGGTGACAGGTAGTTTCTCTTTAATTAAGTATTCCAGCAAATAAAGAAGGAATGATAGGAATAGAATATTGCTATTTTCTAAACCCTTAGTGAAATAATAGATTTAGGTTATGATCATTAACGGCCACTAACATTACAGAAAAGAAAGCCACCCCAACATGATGTGTTTCCAGATGGAAGTATCCAGCACCACCTATGAAGTATTCTTGCCCCCAAATCCAAGCTGAATCAGATCAGATCACTTGACCACCAGTTTACAGAAATATACAGGATAGAGAAATATGCTAAATTATCATCAGCCGATGTAATCAGCCAAATACAGAATGTGGGAAATTATATAGAACAAATCATCCAATTTCTTCAAAAAAAAAAAAAAATAGAAAAGAAAAAAACAATGAATAAAAGAAACTTGAGAGACACTTCGACCAACTGCAACGTGTGATTATTTGAACTCTGATCCAAATTAACTAAATGTAAAATAATATTTAGGAGATAATTGGGAAATTTGTAGTTTTCTTTCCACCCTTCTAAATTTTTATGACTGGACTAATAATCAAATTAACATGAGACAGATTGACAGGAAAAAATTAACAAATATATTACATATGTACCTATGAGGGCTGCCAAAGAATGTGGGACCCAGGAACACTGGGCAGTTGAGGTTTATGTGCCTCAACTCAAAAGAGCTGGAGCCAGGGGTCTGAGATTTCAAAGGGAAAGCAGGCAATTCACAGGTAGATGAGAAAGGGCAAATATGTGGTAAACAAATTCTTGCCAGGCCACCCAGAAACGGTAGGACAGGAGTCCAACAAAGGGATTTGCTTGGATCCTCCCTGTCTGCTGCACTTAATTCTTACATGCTAAGGTAAATCTGCTAGAGTTCCTTTTCTGAAGCAGGTTTTTCTATTTGAATTCCTTTAAGCGGGTAAAGGGGGAAAGGGTGTCAAAGTTTTTTTTCTGAGTTTTTTATTTCTTAAAAATAACCAGCCTAAAATAATCAATATCCTCAAAAGGCATACTTGGGGGTTGTAAACTCTGCTCCCTCTCAATGTCTGGGATATCCTTCAAAATAACCTAATAGAGGCAAGTGGAAGTGGCTGGGATATACTTAAAATGAAACCACCCATTGATCATTGTTGAATCTAAGTTATAAGTGCATAAAACTTCATTATACTAGTCTCTCTTTTGGAAACATTTGAAATTTTCCATAACAAAACAATTAAAAGAAAAGATAATGACACCTGCCTCACCCCCACCCCCCAGCATAAAGTGTGATGGGGTGAGGCCTATCAGCTTTTCTTCTAGGACAGTAGGTAAGGGGAATTGAAGAGACCGAGTGGCACATGGTAGCTGGTACAGGAGATGAAGGCCTTCGGGGTCTGAGTGGGAGGTGACGGCTTTGGATTGTGAGGTAACCAGCTGAGGCCTGGAACTGGTAATGGAAAACAAAAACAGAGAAGCTAGCGTGGCCCTAAGGGCTCAACAGCTCTAAGACCTGTTCCTATTAGCCTGTTGGACTTCTCTGAACAAGCCTCAATAAAGAGTATTTTGTTTATTTAACAAACATTGACACTACTAGCTGAGGTAGGCTCATGGAAATGGCAAAGACACAATCCTGGCCCTCAGGAAACTTATAGTATTACAAGAAGGCTAAAAACTGCATTTGGAAGACAGTACTGCCAGTCCAAGACTAACGAGTAAGTAAGCACAATCTGCTCATGAGCAACATGGGAACTAGGAGGACCGCCTGTTTGCTTTTAGGAATCAGTGAAGCTTTCACAGAAGATACAGCTTTTGAGTTGAAAAGTGAAGACTAAGTTGGTGTTTGCAGGACAAGAGCCAGGAGCAGAAGGATTTCAGGAAGAAGGAAATGAATTTGCAAAACACAGCCTGAAACCGCAAAGGCTTGTTGTGGGGACTGAAAGTATTTGTTTCGCTGGAGCCCACGATGGGGATCCTAGGACCTGTCCCCTATCCTGCCATGACCACCATACTTTATATCCCTTATTCTAGGCCTGGGACAGAGGAAGCTTTAAGCCTGGGTTCCTTTCAGGCTTTTAAAACTAGTTTCCTGATAGGAAAGGGAGAAGAGACTCCAACTTCAAGAAAAACTTACAGACTGTGGGCCAGACCGCATTTTGGAGCACAATTTTAAAAATGCAGTCCGAACAAGACTGGTAACAAAGAGGAACGGTGAGAGGTTTTAAGGCCCAACAAAAACAGCTGATGTGAGTGGCAACACCTACTTCCTACCATTACAGATTCTTGTACAAAGATGAGTCAGTGATTTCCTGCAGCAGTAAGGCTTGGTATCCATTTTTTTTCACCCAGTATTTACATCATCCAAACAACAAATCCTTTTCTTTTTATTTACTTATTGTACAATTCATGTTTGATACACTTATTTTTAAAAACTACAGCACTTGAGAAAAGCCCTAAGGTTAAGGAATCAATTAGCATTACAAAAGTAGTAACAACGGATATCTGGAAAACATGGTTGTAGCTTTGGATTGTTTTTTAAATTGGATTTTTAACTGTGTTAGATGAGCAAGGCCTTCTCCGTGTGCTTTGCACAGTAAATTCTTCATAGACATCCGCTAAGTAATTTTACATAATCGCGCCCCCGCGCCTAGCGGAGAAGCTTCCCGTTTTTCGGGAGGCCACCTCCTCGGGTTCCGGAACGGCAGAAGTCCTCTTGCACAAACTCGGCCCCAGGCCATAGGGCCTGGCGAGCGAAAGCACCGCACCGGTTGCCCGCACTCTCTCCTCCGCCGGCTCGTTCCGGTCCGCGGGCGCCTCGCCGGAGCTGGGAGGGGAGGGGCCCGGAGCCCAGTCCCTCCAGTCATCCCGCCCCTCCGCTCCGCCAGGTGCGCGTGCGCCGTGGCCCCGCCCACCGCCCGTCTTGCTTTTCCCGGGCTCGGTGGCCGGGCTCGCTTCTGCGCGCTCCTCGGCGTCCTCACAACGCGCGTGTCCTCTGGCACCTGGGAATCGCCCAGCCCCTGTCCCGCCCACCTCCTCGTGAGCCCGGCGGCGGGGCC